GAAACTTGTAATACCTTCAATTCAAATAAGTTAAACTTAGTTGTTACTTCATTTACAAGGCTAGTCCAATCTCCTTAACTAGCCGGTCTCACAGTCTCTTAGACAACTAGCTATTATCGTACAGATAATCCATAAAATTCTCCTTTTGCAATCAGGTGAAATAATGGAACTTATTATGCAGTGTGTCACCGACGACCCTGTATAAACTTTTCTGGATATATTAACCTCAATATGATTATAATTATGTTAATGTTAATACAGATAATTACAGAAAAAAACTTATGTACTTAAGTTTTTTTAGATATTTGACTGCCGACAGATTTTGTGTAAATCCTCCGCTAGCGTGGCCCACATGTTGTCCTCCGTGACATTCAAAGAAATTTCGTCAAAGCAATCGGCATGGCAATTTAACTTACAATAAATAAAAATCATGTGCTAGCATTTGTCATCATATATTGTGCTAATCTCACTTTTCACCCGCTGCTTAGCTCCTACAGATCATAGCGTGATGTTTTATAGCCTATAGTCTTCCTCGATAAATGGACTAACAAACACAAAAATAATTGTTCGAACCAGTAGTTCCAGAGATTAGCGCGGTCAAACAAACAAACAAACTCTTCAGCTTTATAATATTTATTATTATTATAGATGAAGCTAAATTAAACAAATTGAAAAGTGAGATTCTTATGGTTTGATTAGGTATTCAACAAGCAAACAAACTCGTTGCCTGTATAGCCTCGTATTTACATGTCCGCAGGTATTATTATGCAATACAAAAATCGGGTTAAACGGCCACAGCACGCCATGGCTCGTGAATATAAGATTAGGCAGATAATTTTACCTACACAGAAACAATACGTTATTACATAAGTCATCAACAAACAAACGGAACGGAACAGCTAGTTTCTCATTAAGGTCACATAAATGTCAAGTCTGGAGTATCTATCTACCTACTTCTTAAGTGCAGAGTTTGTATAAACAAATGAGCCAACTTGAAGGAAAGCTAACGAAGTCGGAATTTGGAAGATATTCTATATTATTGATATAGCAAGCGCAATTATGTATTGTGGAACAGAAGAAGTAACTGGATGGGTTCATATGAATAAATATGACAATCCCTCACGAAATTCGGGTGGGAGAAGTCATTCAATTATTTTCGCCACTCAAAAAGAGAGGCTATTTGGAGCCACGGGCGCGTAACGTGGAGACTAGGGATGACGGAGGCACAATGGTGAATTCGCGCGGGAGTCAAAAGAAGATACAAGTCTCCTTCAAGATATGCCGTGACAAACGTTGCTCCGTAAGGTCTCTGATTTCAGTATATATGAAGTCCAATTGTCAATTATACCTACCAGAATGGTGGCACACTTCTTTCATCACAAAATTTAGGCAACTTTAGAATTTCTCTAACACACCTGTTTGTTTATCCTGTGCAACTGCAGTTTTTACTTGTACTTCTTCCAAATTAAATTACAAGTTTTCATCTTCATCTAAATAGGTTATCTTTAAGTCTTCTATCAATATCCACACTCTTCGCGTCTAGTATCTTTACTTCAAGCTGTTTTTAACTTTATTGAAGAACGTTTCCTCGCAGAACCAAAAAAGGAATGTGTCAGACAAAATTTTTTGCGCACTGTTATTAAACAAAAGTAGAAATAAGATCGATCGAGTAGTCGGCTGACCCAATGGGGTCCAGTTTAAAATGTATATGCTAAAAGATATTGGAGGTGTTTTTTAATGGTTGCATCCCTGAGGAACCGGATGACCAAACTATTATTAGTTATGTCGTTAAATTACCTACGCACCAGTGTTTAAAAGCAACTATAAATAATACGCCATGACACCGTTGAAGGTTTTATTTGAAGTGAACGTGAAATTCAAGGTGTTGTGAAACATGCACATAATTAAATTACACACAAATATGTTACAGTAATATTCATCATACTTGATACAAACAATGATGGAAAACAGTAATAAAATTAATACCTTGACATAGCAACATAGCATGGATTTTTCAAACAACTAGGCACACAATAAAAGAGGGATACTATTGCCACATACTCGCTGTTTCTAGTGATCACCTTACGAAGTCATTAATTTAAACAGTCAAATTAATAAATGTACAAAATCTCGCCGCCGCATACCTTCTATACTGGAACGCTTAAACGCTTGAAGTCATTCTCTGACACTGCGAGCTCACGCTGCAGGAAGGAAGCAGTCAAGTAGGATTTAGAGTCTGACCCTATCCGTGTTAGGGCTAGTGCAATTGTCCTTACGGGCTCGCAAGAAACCTTGTACTCGTTAAAAAAACTATTCCCCCTCTTAATCCTTTGACACGCTCTGTTCTTAGTCTAGAAGATAATAATAAGAATAAGAAGATGGAATAAACCTGTTACTTGTCGCTTCCTATTTTATTATTCCTAAAACTTGGTTTTATGTTCTATCTATCGAATATGTACAATAATTTGTCGCAGAGCCTGTATCAGTATTTACAATTTAGTTATGTGTTTATCCTCAAATAAAAACGTCGTTTCGTTTGTATTCGTTGTATTTAATTCATTAAACGGTCTCACGGTGTCTTCAATTGTCATAGAACTTGTACCATAGTAACTTATCAATTAGTTTTTACAACTCATACCTACTCTGTACTCGATAGATTACGGTTTGAACGGTTTCTATGTAAAATATTTTTCATTAAGTATCAATAAGCTGTTTGGTGCTATAAGAAACATAATTTTTGCCATAAACCTCATGCAAGACTAGTCAAACATTTGTTTTTAAAAATCGAATCTGCCGATACGGCCAGTGTCAATATTTATGTAGGTGTTTTGATATTTTAAAAGATTCTATAATAGAATTCTCTCCGTTTTGAAGCCAAATGTCGATTAATAATATATATTATGGCGCGTTCTTTACAATAATTCATTTAAAATAAGATCTTAATGACAATTGTGATGACAGTGAGATGATTAGAATAAAAATAAAAACAGTGTTCAAGTTTTTAGCAGCGGCCGTGTTGGGATTGTTTCTCTTAAAGACGAAGGATCACGAAGATGTTTCGGATAATTATTTATATGACGTAAGCATTTCATTTGTTTTTAGTTTGGTTCTTGATTTTTTCGTGAATTAGAGGTCGTTCAGTGGTCGAGATGTATTTGAGTGAGATTTTAACCTACTGCTTTGTACTCTCATCATTGTGGTTTAGATTCTTGTGTGTGTATGTACGTGTATGTTACATAAAAGTGTGTTATGTTTTGTTAATTCATCGTATTCGTTCTTTTTTCAAATGTAGGCTACTTTCTCCGTCCGCGTACCTAATTGTCCAAAGAAGGGGTTGTAATACGAGTATACTAATTATAGGATTTGTGTATACCTACATACATATTCGTATTATGTACAATCGGCAAATAGTTTTGTTTTCAAACAGTGTCTATTCTTAACTAATCTTGTCGTACCTACCTACGTATGTATACATAATTATGTATTATTTTTACATTAATCAATAGTATATAACTTCCTATTTTCCGTTAGATACCTATTTCGATCAGCTGTTTTAATTTGCATTTCCGATTCTTTATGAATTAAATAAAATTGCAAGGTTGAAACAATTTATCACAGAATCTGTGATGCACAGACTGTTCGGTTTTACTACGTACTAGGTATACACAAGCATCCGCATGCGGCTTCGCACGCGTAAAATAATAATGTAGAATGTAGTATAATTTATAGCTTATAGCATTTAGAAATATTGTTGCTACCTATCAGTGAAAGAATTTTGGAAATCCTTAAGGCGGTTCCAAACGATACCCCTATATACCTCTTTATAATATTACTAGCCACTGTCAAGCAGTTTCATCCCTGCTCAGCTACTCTTCGTCTTATGTTGATGTTTTATATAGCCTATCCAGCACTCAGGAACATTGTTGCTATTTATTAGCGAAAAAAATTTCGAAATCGGACCAGCGGTTTCGAAGATTAGGTACCCCCACATACAAACTTACTTTACCTCTTTATAATAATAGTATAGATATAATAATAAAAATTGTATGTATGTATAATGTATGAACACGACTAGTTCGCAGATAGCCATCAGATTATTTATAAGAAAATATTATATATAATTAAATTGATTACGTATAAAATGAGTTCGTATCTAGCTACAGAATCATAATATGTGACGGGTTAGATTCCGGTATGACGCTAGGATATATTAAATGATCGTTAGATCATTAAATTATAATTTATGATTAATCTTGAGATATCGTGATGTGCTATCAATACTATACGAGTATGTCTGAAGTTATACATAGATATACTATCACGATCATCCGGCCGCGTGTTATAGGTATACTAGCATCTGTATGCGACTTCGCCCGCGTAGTATGTTAATAAAAATTTGCCTTTGTGTCATGCCAAATTTCAACCAAACCGGTTAAGCCGTCTTGCGTACATACATTCTCATACTTTTACATTTAAAATGTTATTAGGATAAGTAATTAATGTAAGTTAATACCAATCTGTTTTAAAGTTTTTTTTATGTGTCGTGAGTTGGCACATTAAACAAAAATTATCTACCTACAATGTGCAAATACCATATATTATCTGGTAGCGATGTCTTTTTTTAAATTAATGATGACTAATTGCCGGCTACCCCGGCCTGGAGTAGGAGGAAGACCACGGTGGTTTTTAGTCAGTAAGAGTCTGATTATCCCTCCCATCCCATCCAGGGCAAGATAAGTCATTTGATGCTTTTTCCTCCTCAAAAAAAGCATGATTAAGTAGTTAACGGTTAAAAATTCTTTCTCTTAAAGACTAGGCTTTAAGAAAAGGCTTAAGTACTTAAAGGTTGAAGGAAGAATCCTATGACTGATATGCTAATTTCGACCTTCTTAACAAAATGTAACTTGAAATGCTCAAAAATGGAACCAAGCGCTATCAATGGAATGAATAAATTAATTAAACTTCTACCATAAAATAAAGATAATATGTTTCATTTTCAGTCGGCGCCGGTCCCTCGTGCCTGTATCATTGGTGCGGGCTATTCAGGGTTGGGAACTGCGCGGTATATGAAAGAATATGGCCTGAACTTCACAGTTTTCGAAGCCTCTAGGTATATTGGGGGCACGTGGAGATTCGACCCCCATGTCGGAGTTGACGAAGATGGATTACCTCTCTTTACGAGCATGTACAAAAACTTGAGGTAAGTTGTTTTATGTGATAAGGCGGCAGACGAGCGTTCGGATTACTTGATGGTAAGCAATCAGCATCGCCCATGGACATTCACAACAACGGAAGAGTTACTAGTGCGTTGCCGACATTTTGGGGTTTAGGGTTTTTGAAGTTTGGGGAGGGATTGGGGAAGGGGAAGGATTGAGTCTCCGGTAACCTCACTCACACGGCGAAACATAACGCAACCAGATTGTTTCACGTCGGTTTTAAAGTTTGAAAGTTTTACATTATTTTTCCTGTCCTGTCCTTGTTTATTTTCATATCGTTTACCCTTATTATTAATGTCCCTTGTTTTCCGTCTACCTGTTTGGGTGTTTTATAGGTTAGGCAAAAATATTTATTTTTTAAAGAGTGTAAGTTAGTGGTCAGGACTGTTTTGGTAATAATTCACGTTAAGTATAAATATGTGCAAGATGAGTCAGTTGTGTAAAGGTTAACAAATGTCGGGCCAAACAAGGTGTAGGCACAAGATTCTAATGTTTTGGACTTGGGGCTGATTTTTCAATAGTCAGATAAATGTTATCTAAGGAATAAAATTGATGCTGTCACTGTCTTATACAAACATTCTGACGCGACAGCATCATAATTTTTCCCCAGATAACTTTTATCTTAGCATTGACAAATCAAGCCCTAAAATGAATAACCGATTTTAAATGCACAATCACTGGATCATAAAATTAATTTTAGGTTATATTCTGTGAGGTAAAAAGCGTCCCAGTAATCTCACTACACAAACAAAGATTGCATTACGTTTGGCAACCGAAGTGAAATTGCGGATATTAGATAATTCACTTTTAAAATAATAAAACCGGTCCATTATGCGATTAAGCGGGTGTGACCAATATAAGATCCAGTTTCTTATAACACGCGTATCTCCGTTGATCTTCAAAAAAAAATAAAGTTTTTATTTATGGCATTGGTCGGCAAGCGAGCAGACGGATTACCTGATGGTAAGCAATCTGCGCCGCTGATGGACACTCGGAACGCCAAAGGAGTTACTACATGCGCGTTGCCCGCCTCTTGTGGGCTGTTAGGGATTTGAGGATTATTAGGATGTGAGGAGATGGGAAAATGGGTATAAGGATTGGGCGTCCGGTAACCTCAATCACACGGCGAAACACAACGTAGGTGTCCACTAACTCAACTCCGGTTAAGCCATCCGAGCCGAAGCTTGGCTTTCCCAAATTTACTAAGGGCCACAGGTTACTTCTACACGATGCACTTCGTGTAATCCTCCACATTTTGCCGACACCCGACTGTGATCGTAGCAATGAATGAGTGAAAAAAGCAATTTATGGCAAGTCAAAGTAAGCATATGATGCCGCCCTTGGACACTGCATAATCAAAGGATTCAAGTGCGCCGTCAGCGTTTTGTGGGAAGTAGTAGGCAGAATTTTGGATTAGGGGAATGGTGGGAAAATTGGCCCTCCGATAACCTAAATCAAAGGACAAAACACGACGCATGCTTTGCTTCACGCCAGTTTTCTATGAAGTCGTGGCCTCTTCATGCCGAAGCTTGACTCCCACATTTAAACAGACCTTTAAGGAAGCTTTTCTTATTTTATTAACTTCTCCTGGCAGAGGCTGATGATGGCGTCGTTTATAATGACTGATAATAAAAGCAATATTATCTTTAGACTCATTTTGTTAAAGCTAAATATTATGAAACAACAAAAGAAATCTTTTATTACCGTCATAAAATTACTATTAAAGCAAAATACCAGTCCGCTACATGAATAAAATAACTAATTTGTATTCGGACACAAACTAAATTGTCGTAAATACATAATTAAATTCAAGGACTGTTTTTATGTAATTTTCTAGTGTTAGGTTTTAATGAGAGCGCTTTAATATCGACCTGGAAGTTATATAATATTTATGAGTGGAGTCTTAAAAGATGTTGAGGATAATTTGTTACTAATGAACATGCAAAAAGCACGTTCTTCACTTTGTTAATAATAACCTTAACTTTGTTAATATATTTGTGACGAAGAAGGAAAAGTTTGTGCAATTTAGTCCTGAATAAGCACTTATGGATTTGATGGGTTTTTACTTTGTGCGTTTATATATTCATCAGACGTTTTTTGAAGAAATTAATAATTGGGTTTTTATAGTAGGTAGGTACTAAATGATTTTCCTCATCTATTAATAAGTGTTTAAGTATGAGAGAGCCAAGTTTTGGAATGCATGCGACTGGCGTTATGCCACGGCCTCACAGAAAACCGACATAGAACAACTACAGCGTTGTGTTTCGCCGAGTGAGTGAGGTTACCGGAGACCCAATCCCTCTCCCTCCCCCCATCCCTTCCTAATCCTTAAATATCCGAAACCGTTATCGCTAAAACGCCGGCAACGCACTCTTAATCTCCTTTGGTGCTGCGGGTGTCCATGGAACCTATCCCATAAAACAAAAATTATTCAAAAAGGATTTTCAATACTTACTTATCACTTGTTTAAATTTCAACACCATGTTGCTTAGTGTGCACTCATGAACATGTAGTCAGATTATTATCTTAACCTCAAAAATCCAATAGACCTTCACGGATGGGGCCCAATTGGACTGATGTTCAGCCAGGGGTGGGTCAATTGCAATAAGGTATCGCGGCCTCGGCCTAGAGCAGGAGAAGGAATAGGGGGGTTTTAGTCAGTAAAAGTATAACACTCCCTACCCAGGGCGAGAGAATACATTTGATGATTATCAAAAATACTTTTTTTGACGGTCCCAACATCGACCAAAGTCTATGCCTTCGATATTATATATGTAGGTATGGTGCGTTCATATAAATTACGTTCTATATTCAAATTCATTCAACGTGAACGGGCTTTAAAAGAAATACCTAATAGTGGCCAGCCAGAAACACCACTAACTTATGTTTTGTAAGCTTAGGTATATCATTTCAAAACTTATTTGTTTAGTTGATGTTATTTATACGGGATCAGGGCTAAGTGCATGATGTGTGTTTCAGAACAAATACTCCACGCCAGACGATGGAGTACTCCGGCTTCCCGTTCCCTGAGGAGACTCCGTCGTACCCAACGGGACCCTGTTTCTATAAGTACCTGCAGCGCTTTGCGAAACATTTTGGATTGTTGGATAATATACAAGTAAGTACTAATGAAATGGGGATGATAAAGATTATTAGACTGTAGTTTAATATCCAAGCTTTTATTTTTTATTGTATGATGTGATTCTACGAAGAATATATAAACAAAGTAAAAGCATTATTTATCAGCCTGTCGACGACCATTTTTAATTTGTATAATTTATATGTCAATAAAACAAGCGAATACCAAATTTTTTTGAATAAAATAGGTTTTATATTTTACTAGCTTTTTCCCGCCACTTCGCGCGTTCGCGTGGAAAACTGACTTCCTGTAGATTTTTGGTATAAAAACTACTACCAAATTTTACAGAAATCGGTTCAGACAGACAGAGTTACTTTCGCATTTATAATATTAGTTTGGATTTAAAGAATAAGATTACGTAACACCGTGATTGAATTTTTTTTAAAGAAAAAATTGGCAGCATCATCTTTTTAAATTTTTGTTGCATGATGTTTGTATTAAAAGGAAATAGCACAAACCAAATCTGTTCTATTTTTCAAAAATCTTTAAATTAAACTAGATTTTATTTTTTATATAAAGAATAACATTATGTAACACCGTGATCGCGTCTTTTTATCTTACATTAAAATGTTTTTAGAATAGTTTTTTCTTTTTTCAAATGTTAGTTAGTTAGTTATTAAAAAAAAACCAATAAAGTTTTATCTGTTCTATTTTCGACGCGCCATTTTATTTACAAATTTGTATGTATTAGTTAATATTGTGTAATTTTACTAGAGAGAATGTTGTTAGGTGTTGTGTTGGGAATCATTTCCATTCAGCTGGCATTAGGGTCATTTGGAAGGAACAGGTTTTGCATACATAACATTAAGAATTTCTTATGAAATCTAACCTTTACTTGAAGCCTGTTTTTATTTATTTTAACTAGTTTAAGAGTTACGTTTTTGACTAAGTAGGTAATTTTGATATGTCTTCTATTTTTGATAACTACACATAAAATAAAATGATTAACATTTGTTTACTAAAACAGAGGCATTTTATTAAATAGCTTTCTGTTTGGACCACGTTCTTTTATCACTCACATCAGATCTATTCTTTCGAATGATTATACTAAGTATTGATTAACTTTCTCATCATTTTAGGTTTAGTTTCCGAAGTAAATACAATCCGAGTCTGTTGATATGCGTATTATGTCTGTATTTGATGCATCTTTTGAGAATTGGAACTAAGGATAAATCTAATAAAATTTCTTGACCTAGAAAATTTGTTAAGTGGCTAATGATATGACTAATTACTTTTGAATGTTACGTATACATAAGTATTGTATTAAGAGTGTAGGTTATACTAATATTTATATGGGAATCGAACTCGTAAAACCGCAATTGTAATCAACGTTGTTTCTAATAGTGTCAAGTGTGATCTTGCGAAGTGCATGCAGAAGTAAGTGAAATCTCAAGTTTGCTAACTAGTGTCAGAGGTTTACATAACTTGAATACTTGAATGGTGTGAATAAATCCAGATTATAACGGTCAAGTAAGACCTAGGCTATGCTTACTCTTACAATAAATAACTTAGCAAGGTCTGAATTCATATATCTAATGTGATTTATTTTCTTTCTAGTTTTCTTGAAGTCTTTGAGAATATCAATAATTCGAGAAAAGTTCTACTAATTTTGTATTAAAAGTAATGACGGGACTCTTATTCTTGAGCGGGGTGTACGTGCATCTAGCATTTGACGATGAGTAGGTAGTTATAACACAAAAATAAAAATGTCAAGCAGAAATTGACGATTATGATCAATATTTAATTTATTTATTTATAATAAGCACACCAACAGCACAGTCACCCTTAAATTCAATTAGCATAACATTAACAAAATTATGTCATTTCAATAACCATTGTAATGATAAATTGTAATGATTTTAGATCATTACAATCTATCATTACCCTTTTTGACTTATGCTATATACAATGCCAAAAGTTGCAGTACTTCTAGCTGTCCCCTGTAATTTTATCCGTCAATATTCATAAAATAAATGGATTATTGATTGAAATACTTAAAATAATGTTACCAGTTATACGTGTTTCTATTACCAACACATTTGATTTGCAAACACAAGACAATGAAAAACAGATAAGAAGTATAAATTTCCCACAAGCGTCATAGATTTTTTCTACCTAATACAATCTTTTGTAATAAAAAGTAGCTACCTAGTTGCGTGACAGTAATAAATGGAACTGTGTTGATATTTGTAGGTAATAAATGGCTGATTAATATAAAGCCGTTCTCTTTCGTGAGTATACTTATTAAATCAGTTAAGTCCTAGCGACCGATCCCGACCTCGAACGGGTGTATATCTGAAGTATTTTTGGAGTATTTCTCCACATTTACTGGATTTTATTATACATAAAGCCGTTATAATGTATCAACTTTTTTAGCATCTCTTTTGTGAGACATAGGTACTTACTTATTATAGTAACTTATTTAATTAAGTTCTTGCGACCCATTCCAACTTGGCACGGGTGCAATGCTAATACTAAATTTCTCCACATTTACTGGATTTCATTATACATTCACTATAGTATAATAGTGGAAAAAATATCCTACATTTCTTTTCAATCACTCGATCTATGTTCTAAAAAAACTACATCAAAATCCGTTGCATAGTTTTAAATATTTTAGCATACCTACATAGTGATAATATAGGTACAGAGAAAACGACTTATAAGATTGTAAAATCCTAGTTTATTTGACATTTTATTTATATTTTATTTGTGTACTTATGATAAACCATATTCCTAGTAACTATAGTATATACGAGTAATTCCTACAGTTTAGAGATAAATAATGATTTTACTATTAACAATATTAGTGAAACTGTTTGTTTATCCAAATAAAAAAAAAGGGACGGACTTATATTTAAAGGCACATACAGGCTTACTCTTCATTCCTATTCACATTCCTATCTAGTAACTGGGTCTGTCTTTTCTTCACACCTAAACTACATAGTTTGGACAGACATATGTATTTTGGAAATCGAGAAAGGACATAGGATAGTTTTGATACCAAAAATCTGCAGGAAGTCAATGTTAATAAAATAGTCGTTAGAAATAACCTCACCGGCACGGAATCTTGGCCAAGTGCGTATTTCGCGATAACAAGAGCTTTAAGTGTTTCCTACGATTATTTGTTATGAGAGTTGGTCTAAAAAATGTTTACCTTTAGTTCAAGAGGGTAATTTATCACGTTTGAGTGCAGTATGACGTTATTTTTAAGTTTGAGTTGAACCCGGTCATCTGAGGGACTAAGTTGCAGTTTTAAATTTGTGTTTTGTGAAAGTTTATTGTTAAGTTATTCAATTATTGTCATATCGTACTGTTTCTTCAATAACTAAAGGTGATTTAATTCCAATAAAAATGCCATTAACACCATCACAGGTTGCACAAGCAGTAGCATTGATCGAACAAGGGTTGACACAGCGAGAAGTTGCTGTAATTCTGAATTTACTACGTTCATCGATGCAGTATGCACTGAAACGTTACCAGGAGACAGGCCGCTACTCCCGCAAACCAGGCAGCGGAGGTGTCAGATGCACATCAGCCAGGGATGATCGCTTTATTATCCTAGAAATTTTGAGAAACCGGTACCTCACCGCTGTTGAGATACGCCGGCGACTCCAGTTCACAAGAGGTGTCAATGTTAGTGAACGTACAGTGAGAAGACGAATGGAGGAAGTTAATTTAAAAGCTCGTAGACCAGCACGTGGCCCAGAACTTCTCAGAAGTCACCGAGTAGCTCGACTTCGATTCGCACGAGAACACGTAAACTGGACCGATGAGCAGTGGGCTCGAGTACTGTTCACAGATGAGTGTCGAATCGCTTTACGAGCTCCAGATGGTCGGGAGCGAGTATGGAGAAGAAGAGGAGAGCGGTTTTTACCCATTACCATCACATAAACTGTTAGTTTTCATGGAGGCTCTATAATGGTTTGGGGAGAAATAAGTTCCGATGCACGTACGGAGTTAATTATCGTCGATAACCGATTAACAGCAACACGATACATCGAGGAGATTCTTCAGGAACATGTGTTACCATATTCAGGGTTTATTGGGTTCGACGAATTCCTCCTAATGCACGATAACGCGCGCCCACACGTTGCACGTTGCGTGGAGGAATACCTTACAGAGGTTGGTACTCAAAAATTGCGGTGGCCAGCTCGTAGTCCAGACTTAAATCCAATAGAGCATATCTGGGACATGCTTAAAAGAAAAATAAAGTCCTCCTCCTCCGCCTGAAACTCTGAACCAGCTTCGAAATGCAGCACTGAACGCTTGGGAAAGCATACCACAAGTTGAGATCAGAAACATCATCCAAAGTATGCCAGAACGAATGCAAGCTGTTATCAGGGCTAGGGGAGGAAACACCCGATATTAAAATTAAAAAATCAATGAGACTTTTTGTTTATTTTTCATGTTGTGTTGTTTTTAAATTGACAGTGTTAAAAACAATATTTTTGTGAAACTGCTTATTTTTTTAAAGATTACTGTTGTTGCATCAATTTTTTCAATAACTGAGTTACAAAACCATAAAACACCCTTATTTAGTGCATAAACCCATAATACAGTGAAAATTATATATTTAAAATGAAATTATCGGCGAGTTAGTTGGTGGCCAAGTTTCCGTGCCGGTGAGTGTATTTAACCAAAACATTAAGACGATCAGAATTTGCAATTGATTTTTTAAATAATAGGTCAACTAGGAAGTAACTAAAGTAGATACGATAATGACTCTGTGACCGTATAAATAAATCCATGGAATTGAATGAGGATGTAACTACGGCATAAAAGGTACTATAAGCAATTTTGCCCATTGCCAATTGCCATGATGACGTGACAAGAAAACCTGTATTAAATGGTGTTATTGTTGTTTATCGTTCACACCATGGTTCATGCTGGCCATGCATAATTCATTTGTTTTCATAGATATGGCGGAACATGTCGGATGAATACTAAGGGAACGTGGGATTGTTATCCCGGAGTGTTGGTGGCCAACATTCTTTGGTGTGAAGATATACTATAGTATGAGGTACTAACTACTAGCTTTTGCCCGCGACTTTGTTCGTGTGGAATAGTGACGTTATGCAGATTCTTCTTTTAAAAGCTACCCTAAGTTCTTTCTCGAGTTTCAAACTATGTCTGTACCAAATTTCATACAAATAGGTTCAGTAGTTTAGGCGTGAAGAAAAGACAGACAGACAGACAAACAGAGTTACTTTCGCATTTATAATATTAGTTTGAATAATCTGCTTAGTTGTAGTGTCTATTCATAGATATATTACTGTTGTTGCGATAAACGAACTGATGGATTACCTGATGGTAAGCTATTGGCGTGGCCCATGGACATCTACAACATCAGGGCAGTTACGAGTGCGTTGCCGTTAGGTTTAGGGTTTTGCGGATTTATTTATTTTATTTATTTATTTACTTATTAAGCTTTATGCACACAAAACTTCTGTACCTACATAGGCGGACTCTAGAAATCAAGATTATGTACTACAATTATAACGAGTTGAATTTTAAAAAGTATACACTTTTTGTATCGAAAATCGGGCGAAATGAGTTCCTGTTTGTGCCATCCTGGCGAAAGGAATTGTTTTCAGGCAGTGTATTCCTTCACCTATTCCGGTTCGGACCCTCGGTGCATTATAGTGCTTACACTAAAACATGAAACCAAAAGTTTTCTCTTCTAATGCCATTAAGTACATACAACATTTTAATTGCAGTTGCGGAGTCTGGTGACACTCGTAAGATGGGCCAATGACCATTGGGAGGTGACATACACAAAGACAGACACCAAGGAGAAAGTGACGGAGGTATGCAACTTCGTGGTGGTCTCCAGCGGAGAGTTCAGCAGCCCCGTCATACCAGATGTCGAGAGGATGAACATGTACAAAGGTAAACATATTGAACAAGCTACTGATTGTAACGAGATGTTTTATAGCCTATAGCCTTCCTCGATAAATTGACTAACGAACGCAAAAAGAATTGTTCAAATCGAACCAGTAGTTCTGGAGATTAGCGCGTTCAAACAAACAAACAAACTCTTCAGCTTTATAATATTAGTATAGATAAATGTACCTTGAGTAGCTTGCTTCCGCCTGCGGTGTATCCCGGGATTTTAAAAACAGAAGCGTTTAAAGCGAAAACTCGACTAAAATACTCAAATCATGTATAATTTATAGCCTCTGTCACCTAGCCTATAGCTATAGGCTATAGCTATAGTACTGCGAATAAAACTGTCTACGGTGTCAGCCATTATTATGGGATCTTTGATATTTACAAGCTTATATTAAATTTGAAGGGTATGTTTGTGAAGTGGAATATTTCAAATAAATTTAATTTATTTTAATTGACCGATGGAACAAATAACATACACAATGCATGACCAAAAATTCTAAGCAGTTAATAGTAAAGAAGCTAGGACTAAAGAAGACTATGTACAGCCATGTACATACTTCTTATTACTTCTTTAGTCCACAAAAATGTCTTGTAGAGTTTACTTGTTCTGTCACGGGATTAATTGACCTCTCCCACTTCTGATGAAAGCTTTTCGACGTTTCAAAAGTACCTATTTATGGTTAAGTTGGAATAAATGATTTTGACTTTGACTTTCTTTAAATGCATCTCTTCATGCACTTTTAAACGATAAAAATTTGACTTTTTTAAACGTTTAAGATTTTCATAATAGATATATCAAGAATAATAACGAGCCGAAACTTAATAAAAATAAATGCCTTTTAGCCTTAGTTAAATTGATGATTGACCAAATCGGGTTTTTTTTTTAATTTCGTTTACTTAATCAATGGTCACGAGCAAACTTCGTGGTCAATGTAACCTCCTTCAATATATCTGGCCTCCTATTGTGGCAGGTTTTTATAAGAGTCTGGCTATAATAACCCCAGTTAAACTAATATGTCGGATAAATAAAGTAATTGTGGTCGTAATTTTTTTGTTGCAAAAGTTCTCATATTATTTTCCTGTACTTACTTCGCTAGCTTGTTTTGTTCGTCAGTCACGCTTCGTTCAAGGATTTCTCTTGTGTTTGTTTTTTTATTAAAATGATAGATTGTATATGTCCCTACATGTTTAAGGACACATTTTTTACTTCTTATATGTGTAGGGAATAAATAATTAATTCTACGTATTATGGTAAAAGGGCGGGTAAAAATTATTTACAAGGAAAAATTATATTGTTTTATCATAATAAAATTATTCCATTCTATAATTAGGTAGAATGGTAATTATATAGTCTTCCTGACGGACAAAAAGTATTTACCTGTAGGCGATTCCTCGCTTGCATCAGGATTAGCCATACTTCATCCAAGGATGACGGAGATGAAACAAGTTTCATCTAGGTGGCACTGGCATTATGCAATAACTGTTTTGGTACTCACTGTAAGACAGAAGTGGCATAAAAATTATGTTGTGGCTATGTTACTCAAAATTGAAGAGACAGAAGACAAGTTTTTCGATGTTTTATTACCACGATGTATGCATATTTATGCATTGAACATTGGAAAACTGCAGTCCGTATTGCGATCGCCGACTGAGTATCGCTGAGGCCATGCCGTACCGTTTCATTTAAAACATATGTTTATACATTTCCAGGTAAAATAATGCACAGTCACGACTACAAAGACGCTGAAGACTTCCGAGGTCGTAGAGTGCTTCTAGTCGGCGCAGGTGCTTCAGGGCTGGACCTTGCGATGCAACTATCTAACGTGACAGAGAAGTTGTTCCACTCACACCATCTTAACTACAACCAGCCAGATTTCTCTCCAAGCTACGTGAAGAAGCCAGATATAGATTCCTTCACTCTGACCGGCGCTCTCTTCGTTGATGGTTCCACTGAAGATTTCGATCAAGTCATATTCTGTACAGGTATTTAAACATTCCTTCGACGTGTTTTATAATGGAATCATCGTCAGCCTACAAGTGCTCAGTGCTAGGCAAAGGGCTCTTCTCACACGGAGAAGGTTTGAGCATTAATCGTCAGCTCTTGATCGTGGCGGGTTGGCGATTTTAAACTTATTAATTATTTAGAAATTATAATTGTAGGTTTTCTCACGATGTTTTCCTTCACCGCATGTCAGTGGGGTTTAGATGATAGAAAGTACATATAAACTGGGAAAATCTATTGATACTTGCCAGGTGTCGAACCCACCGCGACAACAGTTTTAAATTGAATAGTCCTGCTATATGAAATTTTTTAAAGAATTACGATGGAGTTTCTTTCTCGTTCTTCTTCATTCTAATCTAAGCTTTGGAATGTTCATCTAACTTCACTGACGAACGGACTGAAGACAAACTATATACCAGACTATATTCCATTCGTGTTCGGCGTTTCAAAAGTTCCTATTTATTAATTGGAATGAATGATTTTTACTTAGACTTTGACTGTAAATTACCGCAGTTTTGGGCAAAAATTGCGTTTCATAATTGAGTAATGTATATTAATATTTCAGGATACAACTACGCCCATCCATTCCTCGACCAGAGCTCGGGGGTGACAGCGTCACAAAAGTTCGTGCTGCCGCTGTACCGTCAGACAGTGAACATTAAACGACCAAGTATGGCCTTCGTCGGAGTTTCCAAGAAGGTCATCAATAGGGTCATGGATGCTCAGGTAAGATAGTAAAAGATTATGGCATAAAAAACTGTAAGATCCCTTTCAAACGGAGTAATGCAAGACACAATAGAACGAACACCATTCGCTTGGGGTTTGATGAATTAATATATAAAAGCAAAAATTGTAAGTATGGACGAATATTGTATGTATGGAAGGCTATTTGTCGATTTGGCCGAATGAAATTTGACACGGAGATAGATGATAGAGATAGATAGAGATAGATGATAGTTTGGAGTAAAACGTAGGCTATTTTTTATCCTGGTCAAAAGGGAGAGGCTGCAAATATTATGATACGGTATTAATTAGATGCTTTCTTTCGCCAAACAACGACTAAGCACATATGTATGTACATATATATGGGGATCTTTAGGTTCTAAACTGATGTATAAACTCCATTCTTATGCAATAAGTAAATATAATATTTTTTTTATTGCATACTGTTTGATTTACCAGGTGGACATGACATAGTGAGAAAATAAAATGTATAATTGGAATATTAATTAGATATATCAAATGATTAACGGCTTATCTTTATATTGCAGGGTCAGTATGTAGCAGCTCTGGCAGCTGGTAAGTTCGAGCTGCCCCCCCAGGAAGACATGCTGAAGAGTTGGCTGGACCACGTGTATGAACAGCAGAACATGGGCAAGCGGATCGTGGACGTCAATGTCATTAGTGACATGGTAAGCATTTTTTTATGTGGTATGATAGAACGACTAGCCAGCTCTCGGATTACCTGATGGTAAGATATCAGCGCTGCCCACGGACACCTGCAATAAAGGGAGAGTTACGAATGCGTTGCCGACCTTGTGGGGATGAGGGTTCTCGAGATTTAGCAGTTGGGAGAGGGGGGGGGGAGTATTGGGCCTCCGGTAACCGCACACACACAGCCAAAACACAAAGCTTTCATATTAAATCATTTATCGTAGAAAATGTCAATATTTGGTATCATTATTGCCCACGCGGTAAAAACAGACTACCGCAATGACGAAGCTCATTACTTTTCTGTAAATATCTAACCATAACTTTTTATGAAATAAAGTATAATCAGTCTGAATATTGGACATCCGTATCTCCAGAGTAGTTGCAAGTATGTTGCCTAATTTTTAGGGGTTAAGTAATTGAGGTGATTAGCAAGGCCGGTTAGGGTGATAAGCATTCGCGACTCAAAGAGTCTGTGGACTATCACAGATGGAAGGCTCACAGGGCCGATGTTTAGTCAGGGTTGCGGGGCAAGCGCAATAAGGCACCGCGGCCTTAGCCTGAAGCAGGAAAAGGAACGGAGTAGTTGCTAGTCAGGAAGAGTCTGACACTCCCTCTCGCCTTACCCTGGGCGAGAGAAGACATTTAATAAATATCCCCCTCAATTAAAGGGGAGGCTAAGAAACTTGGATCTAAACTCAACAAGAAACCTCACAGAAAAACTATGTTTCACTCCAGATACCCTTTTGCTTAACCACTGTTACCTAATTAAAATTTCTTTTTTCCAGGACGAATATTTTGGAAACCTGACCGCTGAAGCAGACGTGATACCTTCACCGCCAGTGTTGACAAAAATCGCTAAATTTAATGGAAAGAATCGATTAGATGATTTGCTGAACTATCGTGATTATGACTATAAGGTCATTGACTCACAGAACTACGAAAGGAGGTACGTGCCTAGGAAGGAACTGCCTTGTCCCATCGAAGTATAAATAATGAACAATTTAAAAATAATAAATGTGAAATTATATTTAATTTTCGAATGATATTAGTGCAAGTCTTCAAGACCTTATTACATTTCCATAAGGTCGATTTTGAAATGAGATTATTAAAACCTAAAGAATGTTTGTTGTGACCTGAATATTTTATATCGACGAATAAAAAAAGATCTTGCCTATATTGATTTTAGGTAGATATTTCATACTTTTATTATTAATACAGTATTTTTTTACTAATCTTTTAATTGACTGTTACCAATAATAACGAGTATGTAAGGTTTATTATTAATTTATAAGTACAAATAAATTACTTATTCCAGTTTTGTTGGTTTTTGTACATAATGTTTATTATTTAGTAGCACCGAAAAAAAGCTATCTGTTATCACTTCGACTTTGCAATAAGACTTGTTGGCTGCGCGAAATTCCTGTCGTACAATGCTAGCTCATATATATGAGAGGAATCTCTTGAAAGTAGAAGAATGAGTCGATTTACAACATAATTATAATTACGCGGGTATTGACGCGAAAATTAATTATATGAATACCTTGGTAGGCTTCACGGCTTAGGTTTTCGTTTCGACCTGGTTGCACAGGTCGTTGCGCAGAGCCGTCTGTTTGACGTTCCGCCAGAGTACGATTCATTCTACACTCGTCCGATAAATTGTGTTAAAGCCTCCTTCAAAATTCAATTTAAATCGACTTTACATAAACAACATTTGATTTTCAAAAACGGCACACATGAATAAATCGTATGATACACGTTAAAGTGGGATGGCATGATTCTGCCTCTCTGAATCTCGAGTGAAAAAGAGACAAATATGAAAAAGTGTGGCTAGCTAGCCACATTTTAATATCTCTGACTGAGCGCTTGTAACCTATCTACACACCTCTTTTTACTTATAATATCATTGCTTGACAAAGGATGCAATTTGGACAATGTTTAAATTAAATAAAAATACCAATAAATGCAAAAAATCTTGTTCATAAAATTTATTTACTAATCAAAGTAATAAATTAAAAATTATTTCATTTGTACTATCAGTGTCATAAGTGCATGGATGATTCCAAATCAAAATCGTTTGTACGGCGTTTCATCGCCTTAATTATTTACCATGGATGACATAGATGGCGCTAGTATACTAGTGGTATTGAAAAATATACATTTATAGTTTTTATCAGATACAAAGTTATTAACTTAATAATTTTTTATACAAATTAATGCTAAGATACTCCAAACCTTTTTAAAGCAAAGCACGCAATAACCAGGATTCGAACTCGGTAGCATAAAATTAACCGAAGCCACTAGCCATTAGGCCATTGCGTAACCTTGAAATGTATTGAAATTATCCTACTGTTTATTATATTGAAGTTGTTGAGCAACTTTAACCCGATCATAAATCTCAAAACAGTTGAGGGTAATTTAATATTTACTAGTTAAAAATTAAACCTTTTTGTTCAATCATAACATTCTTTACTATCTTTGAGTGAGTTCAGTCACGATTTGTTTAACAAGTTTTTAATATTTATTTTTATTATGAATTTGCGTTCAAATATTGATACGGCTACGAGGGCCCAAATTATAGTATTGCATAATCAAAGCTTAAATTATACTGGAATTTCTAGAGAAACTGACTTAAACGTAAGTATTCTTCTAAAATGACCGTTTGTTATTTATTTTATTATCCATGGTTATCGATACATGAAAATAATAAATAATACACGTCCCTTACAGGTAAAGACTGCCACTTTATGGATATCTAAAGCTGTTTCAAGAAGAGGGTTCATTGGAGCACCGTAGTGGATCTGGCAGAAGACGTGATATTGACTCAGACCAGCTTCAACTTATGGGGCAAGGTTATGAGGGAAATTACTGGAGAATTGTCATCTTCAGTGATGCAAACAGTGAAAACTACATAGATGTGCTGAAAGACGTCATGAAGATGTGCTAGTGATAACGTTCGTGCAGGACAATAAAATTGTGCTATGTGTAATGTTCCATAATTGTGCAAGTGTTTAGTCAGCAATCAGACATACGGATTATTCCTTGCCCAGCGAGATAGGAGAAATAGGATCGATAAAAATGGCGGCTAGTTCTTAAAAGAAAAGATATTGTTGACTATAGGATTAAGCAATTACAAGACCGGGGTAGCTATAATTTATTTAATGGATAAATGTTCAAACTTAATGTTAGTAGGATAAATTTATTGACTACTTTATAACCAGCAACTGTTATACAGTAACGATTTTAATATTTTACTAAATATGAGAAATAAAAATAAAAGCAATATTAATATCTACAGATGCTATTGATTGCAAAATAATAAATTATTTATTTATTAATTACTATAAACAATTCGTCCCATATCTTGTGAATGCTATATCCCGGTATTAGAAATGTTATTGATTTAAGGTCTAGCTTCAATTTCTTCCTTGTTCTGGAACGAATACTTAAGCTATGAGCCTTTGTCATAACATGATGCACAAAATGAATCACTTTAGTCAATACTTTAATTAAATTTTATGGGGAGGTAAAATAGTTGCAGAAGTAAGGTTGCATATCATATAGAATCGTATTATAACATTGTGTTTAAAACTAACTAATAAATGACTAGCACAACACAATTTTGATTTAAAATACTTATTAATCTTATAAAAAGTGTAATAAATAATGTGTCAGTTAGCTGAAAAGTCATTAGGTTAGGGTATACACTTTATAAGAAAGAAATAAATATTATGTTTTGAGAAATAAATGTCTGAAATTATAATGTCACTAAAATAGTTTTATTTGTTATCCTTTATGAGAATTAAACTTAGTATTAGTCTTAATCTGTAAGAAAAATATGTTACTTTTACATTAATAGTTAGCACATATTATAAAAGTTATTTATATATATTTATTAATATAATTTTATTCTAAAATAATATATATATTTATTTTTGTTATATTTTATAAATATTAAACATCAAATATTTTATTTATGTATTATTATTATTATTGATTTTATATAAAAAAATATAAAAAAAACATTGTTAAAAAACCTGAATTTAAAAATGATAACCCGGAATTGAACCGGTGCCCTTTGACTTCATTATTCTATCATTCTTATTTATCCGAGCTACCGATCGCATTTTTTATGATATCGAAAATGCGGGTTAGTTTATAACTTTTATTATTGTCTATTATTAATTATTGACGCCATCTTTTAATTGGTTTGCTTGACTTGACTTAGATGGCGCTATATTAAGTCCTCGGAAATGAGAAAATTAACATAATTCATGTGTATTTGAATATAAACATATTATTGTTTCTTAATTATTATTTTAACCATTAAAAACCTTATTGTGTGCCTCTGCAGTGTAAAGTATTCAAGCTTTGAAGGGTTATTTTCATTTAAAAGCAGCGCCATCTAGTTATCAATGGTAGCGTTATGCAAAACCTGTCAGTCAATAGTCGACCTTAAGCTCTCCATGCATTTTTGTCACCCTTAGTACATTGTTTGTAAATTAAGTGCACTTATATTATATATATTCTTAGCTCTATTTCTAATGTAAATCGTGAAAAGTGTTAAAGCAAATCCATTTCTATTTTAGTTATACTTAGTGCTATTTTACTTTAAAACTCTTTGTTTCTAATTATGGCACACATAAGTACATTTAAAAGCTTATCTGTATGTTAATAGCTTAACCCGTGGTATGTCGGAGCGCGGATATACGCGAGACACAATGTGTTTTCTATTGTGTCTCATATACCGGCACACAAAAGATTAAAATAAATTAATCCTTAATGGAATAAGATGGCTACAGAGCAGACGGTACATAAAAAGCAGCCTACTTATAACTTCTTCTGTATTGCAAAAGGAGTTACAAATTCATTGCCTGCTGGTTTTTTGGAGATTTCAGGGTTGGGATTGGATGATGTGGGAAGGATTGGGCTTTGGTTTTACTATATATATATATACTATATATGGGACGTAAAACGGGAAACGAAATATATGATGGTATGCAATCGACGTCGCCTATAGAAACTCGCAACGGATAGGACTTACGAATGCGTTGCCAGTCTTTCGGAGATTTACGGATGGGAGAGAGGATTAGTTCTAGTTCTCTAGGCATTACTATTATCTTTACCAAACCTAAAGCTGGGTAAAATGGATTTTAGTCTCTATTTACAGCGTTAATCCTCTCCTAACTGCTGGATCCTCATCATGCCTCACAAAGTTCTGGTCGTCAATTACAGTGTACACGTAGTTTCTGAACGTGTAGAAATTTTCTAACTTCGCTTGAATGTCTTGTGTTCGAATCTTGAACATTACTGGCGGTACTCGTTCGATGCCGGATTCTTCTGAAAGTTCAGCGTAGTATTGGTCCTGAAAGAATTAGGTAACGTATTAGTTTAATCTAAAATGAAATTTTCTATGTGACATTCATTAGAGATCAATATTTAAATATGCATTTAAGAGAATGTAATTGGGTTAGGGTACAAAATTGATTAACGCTTGTGTTTTAACCAAAGTTGTTAAACGACGCTCATCTCTATGATATGATGTGATGTATTTTTCGACATCGATATTTCTGAAGGATTCAAACCTCGATATGGGACAGATACCTTTGGCATTAAAGTGCAGACGTTGTGATTAAGAAACAGTAGTATCAAGGCATACTTCTTTTCTAAAAACATATTCATTTGTTTCAACTGTCATGTATAACCGCCAAAGACCTTAAGGGCACTTATAAACAAAATGTTTGCTTGACAAGAAAATATTGTTGCCGTTGGACATTATTCCTTTCATTAAGAAAGGATTATACTCAATATACATGATACTCAAGTCTTTAATCTATCTATCTATCTATCTATATATGTATATATAGTATAAATGAATCTCAAAATGTGTTGGTAAGCGCATAACTCAACAACGCCTCGACCAATTTGGCTAATCCTTTTTTTGTTTTATTTGTTATTGCTAAAAGAAGGTTCTTATCAAAGAAAATATTTAAAAAAAAGTAAAGGGGAAAGTTGGGACAAAGTGACCCTTTCGTTGTTAGCGAGATAGTTAGGCCCGTGCAAAGCGGGAGTCTGTGGACGTTAAGTACTTAAGTGTTATAATACAAACTGACCTCTTTTTCGGCAAGAATGTGTATGTATGAGGCTGGGAGTCCCTTAGACCGGATCGCGTTCATTCTCTTCTGCCACTCCTGCATCATATCTTCTTGTGGCGGTAGAGTGAAGTTTCCTTTCACTAGGGCTGTGGCGTATCTTGCCTGAAAATTGAGGAATAGGTACTATTAATCGTTTCGATTCACACAACACGGAACAACTCTTTGTGTAGTCTACAAAAAGTTGTTTCGGGTCTGTGTAGCTTGTGTATGTGACTTAGCCGCACCCACGATACATGAGAAAATCCTAGGGTGGAGCAACATTTAAAAAACAAAACAGCTTTGCAAGTGCGTGCAAGTGAGGTTACAAGAAGCCTAACCCTTGATTGAGGAGTAATGGGGAGGGCCCTACCACTCCTCAATCCGAATCCGTGAAAAAAAAAATCATGTGATCAACAAATGAAATGAAACATTTATTTAGTTTTGTTTTAAAAAGTAAGAAGTTCCAGTAACCTACCTGAGCGTCCAGGGCAACGACCAAACACGCTCTGACGATTAATCCCATCAGGATCATGGAAGGCTGATTGATGTTCACCATGTACCTGTATAGCGGCACTATGCTTTTAGGGCTTAAGGTCAGCCCACTGGACTCGTCTAGGAATGGAATATCGTACTGGAAACCTGAAGATTAAAATAAAATTAAATAAGAATTTAGCTATTTTTTATTGAGGGTTTTAGATACCTTTTCTGCCACCAGGTGGCGCTTTACATGCGTCAAATCAAAACAGCTCAGGCACAAATTTTTACTGGGCGTATATTTTTTGTGATTATTTTTTTTACTATTTTTGTTTTTATTAAGGACCACAGCCAAAGAAAGGTTTACGAACTGAAGATTGATCCCAAAAACAGTGCCTATTGATGTATGATCCGTTGATTGCTTACCATCAGGTAATCCGTCTGCTCGTTTGCCGACTTATTACATTAAAAAAAACCATTGTGGCATTTTCGAAAACAATTTATACTTTTGTAAAGTTTAAGTTGTTTTTAAGTTTAATAAACCAAAAAATAATAAAATCGAAAAGTATAAATAAATAAAATATAAATTGCTATTTTACGGGTAACATTTAACAAAATTATCATTGCGTTAGATTTTGCTGTTCTCGTATCGAGAAATTCGTCTGTGTTGTTCGAATTTCTTTTATTTGTAAAATATGATTGCTTAAAGGCAATCAGAAAAAATAAAGCTTTTAGCACAATTAACAAGACCAATCCAAAACATTGCTAGAAAAATGTATTTCCATCAAAAAAGAGTACTTCTATTCTTTTTGTAGATAAATTGTCTTCTTTTGTCAATGACTTGAACTTACCTGTGCAATAGATAACATCATCAATCTCCTCGTAGCTACCATCTTTGAATATGACACCAGTCTCATTAAACTCTTGGATATCTGGTTTTTTATGGTAGTGTGGGGGGAACGGAGTACTGAAATTGATTTTAGAGTGATGGCTATGGACTAAGGTCTTAGCAACTTCGGCTACATCGAGACCAATGTCCACTCCAGAGGGACCAGCCCCAACAATTAAGACACGTCGATTTCTAAACGGTTCTGGCTCCTTATAGTCGTGACTGTGAATAATTGTGCCTGTAAAGGAAAACTGCTTTTAGCTTTCTTCTTAGTAAAAGGTTTAAGATTCATAAAAGAAGAGGCTAGAGATTCATTATTAAGTTTTTAAGCGTGAATGGATTGGCTCGGTCGTAGTGATACCACAGCCTTACACAAAAAGGTCATGCACTTGGCACACCTCTGTGTGCGTTACGGGAGGCCGTAGCGCCGATTACTTACCATTTTTTCTCGAATTGTTTTTTTTTTGACAAAATTATCAAGTGTCTTCTTCTGCTCTGTTGTTCGAGCAAAATGGATTGTCAGTTTCTTACTGACTAAAAACCACCCCGCTCCAAGCAGAGCCAAGGTACATCTTTCTTTAGCCTTGCAATTTGCAACTGCTACGAATGAATTGGAATTCCATAAAATGGAAATGGAATGTAGTCGTGATGGCCCGGAGGTTAAGGAGCCCGCTTCTCATGCATGAGGGAGTGTGTTCGACCGTGGCAAGTACCAATATGACTTTTGCCGAGTATGTACTTTCTATGATTGTTTAGACACCACTGACATACGGTGAAGGTAAACATCGTGAGGAAACCTGGACTTATTATTGCTAATTATAAGTTTGAAATCGCCAATCCGCATTAAGCAAGCATGGTGATTAATGCTCTAACCTTCTCCGTATGCGAAGAGGCCTTTGCTCAGCAGTGGGCACTTATAGGCTGATGATGATGAAATGGAATTCTATACCTAAGAAATAAAGTTGAAAGTAGTTTACCTTTAAAACGATCTTCTCCAGGTATGTTAGGCATGTTTGGTTTGCTGAAATGTCCGTTTGCGACGATTATGTAATCATATTCATCTTCAAATGTTTCCTTTGTTTTAACATGTTGATGTTTGACTCGCCACACATCTCCCACCCTTCTAACTAGGAGTACATTGTGGAGGAACTGCAAGTGAAGAGAGAAATGTACTTTAACACTTTTATTACCACTACGATTTTCACAATTATATCTCAGATGCCCCCTGCATTTCACGTAGGTACATTTTAGGCCGCTATCCCGGACGTTAATGCTTGCCCCACTGACGCAGCGTTAACTTCGCATCAGCACGGTGTTGACACAACACAACGTTGACGACAATGCTAGTAAAAGCCTATTGGGGTAGCAAGTGGAATAAAATTTACGTGGACTCTCGGGGCGAGTCGATGGCATGAAAGCGTTAAATATGTGTGCTATGATATGTATCCAAAATGGATTGCATGGTTGGCGTGGTGGCTGAGCAAATGGCTGCTGTGCAATGTTTTCGATCCCCGCACGGAACAAAACCTTGTGGGTTCCTTGTGTGTTGTTTCGGGGCCAGGTAAACGCACCCATGACACAGGAGAAAAACCGAAAGATCTTTTCTTTAGAAAAGATTAAAGTAGTAATATACCTATGGCCAGTTCTACAACCAATTTGAAACTTTAATACAATGCAATATCAAGTGAGTTTTTATTAGGAACGTTATGAAGACCAGCGTAATTGACGAATCTCTGCAAAAAGTTTGAAAGGCACTGTAAAATGCAATGATAATATATTTATTTTACTTTTTTAGTTTCTGTAATATGACTTAGGTGATATGGGCCAGTGGACAATTGGGATTTTTAAAGCGTTAGTTACTTACCTTAATATTATCGAGTATATTGAAATGTTTCGAGTAATCTTGTAGGTACTGGTAGTAATCTCGCCAACTGGGGAATGATGGGAGGTGTTCAGGTAAGGGAAACCCTCTAAGTTCCATTGTAGGTTTTGGTAGATTTGTTCTGAAACAAGAAAAGTTGTCAATAATACTGACTAATTAGTCGACTTGATTAGATATGTGCGTATCTTTCTGAAGCTTCAGTTTATACGAAAGAACGGTGTTTTGAGTATACTGTAATATTTGATTAGGTAAGAGGGATCTAGTGCATTTAGAACACTTTTATTAAATGTTGTAAAATAATAGCTACCGTATTATATTTTTGCCCGTCGAGATATAATTCTACAAGAAATTATTAAACAAATCATATAATTCTATAAATAATTTTAAAACAAACTGCAATGTATTAAACAGCTACAAATATTTATCGGCTCATTATCTTATTATTTGAAACATTCCGCGTTCTAGAAGCCAGTAACTTAATGACTGTGCAAACTTGATATCGCGCCATCTGTTTGTTTTGGTAAGAAACTAATCAACACTGTATTGTTCAATTGTTTGACATCTTTTTGATTGATAATTATTTTAAAACTTGCTTCAGTGAGTGTTATTAAAATTGAATGTCGTATTATTTTTTATGTATAAAATACGTTTTGTTATTTGGATTTAATGTCTTTGTATCACTCTTTGTAAACGCACCAAAGTGCGAAAAAGACAACCTTGATTGTTGTGCTTGTAAATTATGACCTATAGTTCGTTCCATAATTAGAGACAACGATTTGACATTTCGAGTGTTGCAAGTTTTTTCCATTTCATAAATAGTGACGTCCCGCGACCGGTATTGACCGAAAGACCGAAATTAAATTCTGGACTTCGTGCATTTTAAAAGCTTTATTATTTTCAGCTACTTTCCCTGGTACCTTCCTGTGCCCATACTAACTCAGTCGGGTTAAAATCCCAATGGTAAGGAGGCAAAAGTAAAATAGTGACCCCCCTTTTAGCAGCCATCAGTCCACGACGTATCATTCATAATTACTCTTCTCTTTCCGGGAAATCTCCAACAGCTTGGCTTTCAGCATAGGTTCCTCAAATATAATGTTTTTCTTTTAGCCAGTCTTGGATTTCGCATTTTTATTTTAAATTATTTTTATTAATTCGACTAAACTATAAAACACATCACCGCAACGTTGTTTTATTTTGCTCAGGGTATTTTATAAAAAAACGGTATCGGTATTTTATTTAAAACATCGTACTCGGGCCCATCACTATGTTGAAAAATCTGGCCACATTATTTTGTAGTTTGACATTTGCTGTTGTCAAATCGTTGTCTCTAATTATGGAACGAACTATAGTACAAGTAAGTTATAATTATGTTTAATGTATTTGGATTCCATTAACCCAATTATTATTGTTTGATAATAAGAATATAATTAGACTGATAGTCCATGTTTGCATTTTTCTTTTATTGTTGATTCCAATTTTGGACTTATATAATAGTAGGTACGTATTACTAAAAATAGCACGTTTAATATTTTTTAAATTAAATCGACGTTTCGATACAATAAAATATTGAAAAATAATTACACTGTTATTCATCGATCGATCGATACACAAAGTTTTAGATATTTTGTACCTAATTATTAAGAAATTAGTAAGCTATTTGGCACAACAATACTATGACGGCATAACTCAGTTTTTCATACAAATTTCATAGAAAAGAATCGTTTTTGGCATTTGAACAAAAGTATTGATTTTGACTAGTTGGAAACTACCGTATTAAAATGACCATCATAATTATCAGTCTTACCTCAAGTTTTTGTACATACTAGTGTGTAGAGGTAGACCGTTCTCGTCTGTACCCACTCTGGGGTCAAACCTCCACGTCCCGCCGACATATTGTGTAGATTCGTAGACTGTGAAGTCAATCCCTTCTTCCTTTAAGTATCTGGCAGCAGAGATCCCTGCTATGCCAGCACCAACAACACAAACACGTTTTGTCTGGAATAATAAGAAAATATAATTATTAAAGACAATGATTGAATTCGAATAAGGCACTTCTAAAACTTATTTAAGCAAAATTTCATCCAAAGTCTTGGAGCTTAGAACCAAACTCCGCCGTCTAGAGGCTAAAAAGATGTGCTCCTTGAGTCCTTCTGGCATAAAGAGCTGGCACGAATTCTGGGTATCTTACTATACACATACCGTGATAACAAATATTCAAAATCCACCTGAACTCTCAAGAGACTCCTTTTAAGAATTTCGCATGTAATCTCATCGCGACATACAATGTAAGTACCTGAGTTTGATAAAAATACAATCGCGAAGATAAAAAAGTTAGTTTTATTATTGTCCACCAAAAGATGGTTTTAGTCGTAAATAATAACAATAACACATAACACACTCCATAAACGAACACGTTAGTGTCACTAGTGTATTGTTTGTTTGCTTGGAATAGCAAGTTGGAAATGAAATTATTCATTAAATATTTATGTAATTCGTATGTGCAACATGAATTTAGATACTTAGTAACACTCATAATTACAAAACAAAACACTAACACGACCCAGGAAAGATTTTAAAAAGCCAAGTTCTTACCATGATATTTTTTATTCGACAAACTAATAGGCCACCGTTCCCTGTTTTCGTTCACTTTATATTCTATTGACATTTAATCTTAATTTAATTCGATAAGTTCTTTGAGATAAATAACGTCACACAGTCACAAGATTTTTTTATCAAAACAAAATGACAATTTAGTCGATGAGTTTTACTGTGGCACTTCGAGCCAGTCGACGGCGAGAACTGATTATAGACTAAATGACACAAGCGCCCCAACGATGTTTTAGTTTTCGTACTTATCGTCTGTTATCGAAGCGAAAGTGATATACAGCAAAATCCCGAGTCATCTTTATGTGGACATAAGGACTTAAGACTGTAATTATAGTTTAAATTATTATTATTTTACACCAGTATTTTTAGTTACAGTAAACTTAAAATTAGATGTAAGTAGTTAACGTGTGTAAAATGTGCCAGCTGATATTTTACCAAAATTATTTCAGTAGTACTTTGTTCTTTCTTCGATATTAAAATGATCTTTTCAAATTCTAAAGTACATAGGTGCCTACTAAGCTGGTTTTATACTTATTGCTGTGTTCTTAATTAAAGATACCTAATAGAAAATTATTAGGTATAATGTGTTTAGTTCGTAACTGTACTTACTTAATTTCTTAAGTAATAATTGAAAAGAGTTTCAAAATATTGTTGTCGTATTTCAGTCATATTTAAGTACAAAGATTAATAAAAGCAACTATAAATAAATATTTGCTTTGAAGATAAAACGATCTATTATGTTCCGATTGTATTAAGTATACCTACTCTGAATAAAACTTGTTTGAGATAATAATTAACACGTGAATCAAGAAGCATGCTTACTAAGCAAGGTTATCGTTATCATTATAAATAATATAATAAAGTTTTATAATGAAAATATATATTAAATTATTTTTGGGACTATTCATATTTGCGAAAATACAAGCGTTTTAACGATTATTGGTCTACACATTTGAGAAGACACCAGATTCTAAACTGTATCAAAAAACAAAGCACTTAACAAATATTTATAAATATATAAGTATATATAGGTAACCTTACCTTAACAACGGCACTGTAACTTAAACAAATCTGAAGGGACAAGACAATAAAAACAAATGAATATTTTCGAAACATTTTTGCTCGAATAATTTAGAGCGTGCGATACACCGCTCTAATTTAATATACACACTGACGCACACCAGTCGGGAAAGATACAAGTTCAATGCGTATCATTAACCGATATTAACCTCATTATATAACAAAATGGAAGAGGACAAAAACAAATAGATAGGTATACTTATAAGTACTTATATGTATTTGAATCACAAATTTTATCTCACAGCGTGTAATTATTTTGTTGCTGTTACAATAATTATTAAGTATTTCATGATGTAAATCGATTACATTTTTTTTGTTTCACAACACTTTTTGAGTATTAACTGGACAGTACAACCTAATTGCTCAATGATTACAAATTTGATTTTTGTGTCACAGAAAAGAAAAAAAAATAGAGTAAATCGGAATCTTAGTTGTAAGGTTCTGTCCGTGTTGTGAGTATTAAAAAGACAATGTTGAAAACATACTGTGAGGCTATTTAAATACCTATACGGATAGGTATAAAACAGTTTTAAGGTAAATGAATGAGTATTTGCAATAAATAAACAAAACACGTTAACCTACTCAACTAATAATTTGTTTAACAAAGAAGTATTTGTATAGGAGTTTAAAACCAAACAGATATAGAAAAAATCAATTAAAGTATCGCAAACAATTACCTATACATCATTTAGAGACCCCTAAAAGACACTAAGTAGTCACACATTGCCAAAAACTTGAAGTCAATGAACTCATGATCGCAAGACTAATGAAGCAACTAAATATAGAACAAATTATTGATACAAGTACATATGTATGTACTTTAATAATGTGTTTAGAATAGAGAATTGGGAATAAGGCATATGTTAATCTGTATATACTAATATTATAAAGCTTTGGATTTTTTTCTTGGTCGCACTAATCTTTGGAACTACTGGTTCGAATAGAATAGTATTTTTTTATATTGGATAGACCGTGTATTTAAAGAAAGTTTTAATTAGAGCTGGTGAAACTCAAAAATGAAAGTTCTGAAATCTATGATGACTACATGTAAAAACAAAGTCGCTTTTTTCTATTCCTGTATCCCTATGTTTACTTAAATCTTTTAAACTAAGCAACGGATTTTGATTTGGTTTATTCAGTAGCTAGAGAAATTGAAGAGGAAGGTTTTTATGTAAATTAACATCCATTTAATTTAATAGTGGAGTATTTTTGTATTAGCAATGTACCCGTGCCAACTCGGGCGGATCGTTAGTATAAATATGCATTCCTAAGAATACGTCAAAATATGAATGAGCTATACATATATTAGATAATGGATAATAGCGATATTGAAGATTCTGTATCCCAGTATATGGTATTAAGCTGCTCTCTAGTATAATACCGACAATAATATAGGGAAAATTACTATTAGCTATTGTCATAGTTAATTGAGAATAAGAAATTCTGACTTGACTTTCATGAACACCCTGTATGTTGGGGATAATATCACTGGGAAGTTCAGTGTGATACTGATGGAAAACCCAATAAGCAATGTTTATATTTAATAAAAATAGAAGTTAGACTTACTATCTTTAAAAAGACTTGAGGAACTTAAGGAAAAAACATATAAAACAGCGCAGGTATTTAACTATTATTGTTTTTATAACATAACCTCGTACTAAAAATACTAATCATACTAAAAGTACCAAAAAATCTGTTTATTTGTCACATTTAAAAGATCTTAGGTTTGGTATTATAATTGGTTATCTTGTAAGGTATCTATAAGTCTTAGAAAACAATTATAAACAAAAATAGAAAACTATAACGTGAAAGACGCACATGCGAGGTCAATAATGTCAATTAATGTCAATGCAAATAGAGAACATAGATCTACAAAATCTACGAAATCTTTTAAATATTTAAAACTAACAGAAAGGCGATTTTCACACTGCCCCGCATCATGCTGCATATTGCGTGTCGACGCACGCAACTACGCGCGTTCCTGCGGGAGTGCAGATCTGCATCATCGTGCGGGTTTTTTGCGCATTCACGCGCGTATGTGCGTTTTGTAGATTCACGCACGGCGGCTCTCATTTATTCGCCGTTCTCTGTGGTGGTCGTACAGTACTGAGCATCACGATAGATTTGAAAAAAATGCTTTATAGTGTGGAACTCATTCAGGACGCTACTATTGTACTAACTGTTTGGTTTTTGTACGGTCAAATTAAAACAAATCGTGCCTATGTATAAGCCAATATATATAGGTACTGGGTACAACCAACAAATCATTCAAAATCACGCGCGGCACTGCGGTATTCGGTGTGCCATACCTGGCGTCTCGCCCCGCACCCACGCGCGGGGGTGCATGTTTCTCCACGTGTATGCGCGTGATCCGCATGAACGCGCGTGGATGCATTTTCTGTGTGTTAGACTGTGCGTGTTTTCCATACAAACGGAGATACTTACGAGCAACGGAAGAACACGCATCCACGCGCTACGCTCATGCGGGGTAATGCGAGAATCGCCAAAGCTCTTAATATAACCCTCAATTATCCAAACAAATGACGGGACTAAAACTCTGACTGCAAATAGTAAATCATGTGAAAAGCTTAAAGAAAGATAAGTGTTACAATATGGGATTCAACAATGTGGCACGAGATTTACAAAAGACGATACATGCAAGAGAAAGTTTTCTTCATTAACCTTCTAAGACAGATATACATTAACACATTCAGTGCCCGACGCACCTGTGCGTTCTATGCATTAATGTATAGAACGCACAGGTGCGTCGGGGGCACTGAATGTGTTAAAAGAAACTGAAAATCGATTATAGTGTGGTGTAGTACTTTAAGTGTGGGAGGGCCATGCTACGGCACGAATGGGTCGCCTCGACCGGAGTGATACCACGGCCTCACAGAAAACCGGCGTGGAACAACCACATCGTTGTGTTTCGCCGTGTGAGTGAGGCTATCGGATACCCAATCCTTCCCCTTCCCTGATGCCTCTTAGTCCTTAAATGTCCATATCCCTAATCCCTAAAAGGTCGGCAACGCACTCGTAACTCCTCCGTTGCGGGTGTCCATGAGCGGCGCTGATTGTTTACCATCAGGTCATCCGTCTGCTCGTTTGCCGACCTATTACATACAAAAAATATATATATTCCCGAGTTGGATACACCTGAATTTCATAATAGTTAATTTCGCATACAATACCAAAGAGGTCAAAGTTTTCTTAAAAGTTTGACATCATAAGTGTATAGTGCCTGCCATCTATTACGACGATCCCAAAGAGGCGCAAATTAGATTTAGAAGGGCCTATTCGATGCCGACAACTGTATTATGATTTAAATTGACCATGAAAAAGAATTTGAGTGGAACTTTTACCCCAGTATCTGTTAAATTGTCAGAAGCGAAATTTTTATATCTTAACTAGCTAGCCACCCGGAATAAACTGATGTTTTTTTTTTGAAGCTTTGCCCCACAGTACGATTTTCTCCTGTGTCATGGGTGCGTTTAACATACACATTACACCAGAACAACAATTTTTGGACCACATTTGTGTGATCTCTCTCACAACTCTTTGGAGTTATTCCGTGCGAGTCGAACCCGCTACACGTTGCGCCGCACCCAGTCGCCCAGCCACCGCGCCAACCGAGTAGTCAATTATATGTATGTATGTAAGGAATAAAAAATATATGTGATCTTATGTTTGATACCTACTATAGCACGTTTTTTTGTGAGGTGAAAATGACTTCTCCCGCCCATAGTGTCAGACTCTTACTGACTAAAAACCCCCCTGTTCCTTCTCCTGCTCTCGGCCGAGGTCGCGGTGCCTCATTGCGCTTACCCCCCAACCCCGGTATACTAGCATGTACATGGTCATCAAATTTATGCCTGTTATATGCACAAAATATTACCACAACATAAATGCAAATCACTCGATGATAACAACACCGTATTTCGTTATAATAATGAATGGATATATTATGTTCATTCAAATGTTATCAGGATCTGTTTATTTGCCATGTACTGTGTTCGGACCCTCTGCTAGATTAGCCAGACGGACTCCGAGGGTCGCTCGAATCACGCCCATGCGCCGAATTCAATCGAAAAGTGAATATTATTAGTTTTCATGTCGAATTTTTGAACTTTTATCGTTGTTATGTTAACAAATGGCGTAAGTCCACAGGTAAAC